TGTATAGATATACATTACCTACTACCATATCTCTGTATAGATATACATTACCTACTACCATATGTCTGTATAGATATACATTACCTACTACCACATCTCTGTATAGATATACATTACCTACTACCATATTGTCAATTGTAGTTTTTGAATTTAATTCGAAATGATTTCAAAGTTTAAAAAGTAATACAATTTCAATTTAATGCAGCGCGATGAAAGACTATTAGAAGAAAAAAATTAAATTGAGTTTATTGAATATTTTTCTAACAAATAAACCAGTGAATTAAAAATATGTCCCTCCCTTGCTGTGTTCTCATTTAGCGCCCCCTAATGGCACAGCGGTAAGTCTGCAGACCTATAACGCTAGAAACCGGGTTTCGATACTCGTGTTGGGCACAGTATAGATAGCCCATTGTGTAGCTTTGTGCTTAACAACAAATAAAGCTTAGTTTTCTATGGACAGCCCTCTCTTGCTCTCTCTTTTTTTTAAAATTTAACTTACGTTCAAATAGGTACGACTAGTTAGTTCGCTCTGCTGATATTCTGATAGGCGGAGACTGTTTATGTAGAGCATAAAGATTACAGTACTGTTAGAATAATGGGGTGGGGTGGGGATAGCGTGAAGTTACGCCCTCCACAAAGATTGCCCCATAAGTCTAGTCGTAGTACAGCATAAAAATATGAAATTATCGGCAGAAGATAACAAAATCCAAACTAATCCCCTGCCTAATTTGGTGAACTAGTGAGTTTGGGACAGGCGTAAAGTTGCCCTTCCACAAAGAACGTCTCATGAAAGACAAGTTCTCGTGCAGCACAAAGTCGGGAATTTATACGTGCCAAGTTCGTTAGAATCGGTGGGGTCTTCTCATAAGTGATGCTTGATTGGGCAGGTTCAAGCCCAGTGTGTTTGAAAAACAGGTTTTGCGGGCATCCTTTTTTTTTGGGGGGGGGGGTCTAGTTTTAGCCTCTGTTTGGTTTTTATATCTGGAGTTGTATTTAATATAAATCCTTGAAATTAAACTACATTTCAAAATGACAATTAAAAGGGCACACACACCACATTACGTAACTTTTACTTTGATGAGTAAATCAAGTACATATGACATCCCATCAAAAGACAAATAATAAAACTGTTAAATTATGTTTGTTCATTCCCCATGTTTATGGGGTATACATACTTGTTCCACATGTTTATGGGGTATACATACTTGTTCCACATGTTTAAAAGTGATCCCTACGTAAGAAATCATTTATTTGCTAAGCCCCCGTCCCCATCATGGAGCTTTTAGGAATGGATGGTTTACATTTAAATAGAGAAGGGTCTGGCTTGTTTGTAAGGATAATTTAACCTTGCTGTAAGAGAAGTTTTAAACTAGGACCAGAGAGTGGTGAGGGCCAGGATAAACGAAAAAAGAAAAAGATGTAGAGAAAAGTTTAGCATAGGAAATGAGTATATAAGTAGTTATAAGGATAGGCTTAATTGTTACTATTGTAATGCTAGAAGAGATGGCTGGGTTATTAAATTCTGCTTTTTTTCCCAGTTTTTACTAATGAAGATCTGAGCAGTATTCCACATCTTGAATAGTTGATAGATGGAAAAAAGATGACTGCATTAATTCTGGATAGGTGAGCCACTTGCTACTATTTTTTTTGTAAGTCCTTGAATAGTGGGCAGGTGCCAAAGAATTGGAAGTTAGCTAATGTATGTCACCCTTCTTTTCAAGGGAGGCAATAAAAAATTGTCCCAATAATTATAGACCCATTAATCTTGCATCAGTTGTGGGAAAAGTTTTGGAAAGTCTGATAAAAGATGCTTTGAAAAGTCATTTAACAAAGTTTAGAATGTTATTGGACAGTCAACAAGGTTTTACTAAGAGAAAATTTTGTCTTACAAATTTTTTGAGATTCTTTGAAAAGGCTACTGTTTATGTAAATAAGGGTAAGAGTGTAGATTTGGTGTATCTATATTTTCAGAAAGCATTTGACAAGGTGCCACATAAAAGGTCTGTAAAAATTATCTCTATAGGTGTGGGGGATAAGTTAGCTAA